GGAGGAGGAATGAAATGGAATATGATAATAAGGAGTTGAGAGATTGCTTTAAAAATATTTTGGAATAGATCAAACCTCGAATGATGAAAGTTATTGGAATCCGATCTGGTGGAAGGGGGAAGGACAGAGTCCGAGGGGTGAAAATTCGATCAGCTTGATCGAAAGCGAAGAAATCGATAATCTCATCGGGCAATTTTTCACACCAAGATAGCAATGTGGTCACATAGAGCGCCAAAAGGAAGGGTCGATCTTCATCTATTTAGCAAAAGCACTTAAATTTAATAAAAATCGCAAAATTATGATAACGCCATTTTAGGAGGAAGTACCTGAAAGGGGCAGCTCTAGATTTCCCCTATTTGGTTCGCCAAAAGCGGCTACAATTTCGGCTTCCATTGGCTGACACTGATTGACAAAGGAAAAAAAATAATTAGCAAATAAAGACACCAACGGAGACATATATGGCTATTAAATTATTTGCGGAGCATTCTGATCTGTCGTTTAAATAAAATAAGTGTATTTGGAAAATTGAAAATTCCAAACAAATTCCCAGATTGGCAAGAATAAATAAAGTCTTTTGTGGGATATTCACTATAACCTCTAGTATGATGATGATAATTATGATGGGGTTGTGCGATAGACTTACTCCCACGCGGTGCACCCTGGGCAACGTATACTCATACGGCAAAAAAGTCTATAAACCGGCAGTTGACTTCTGACTCCAAACTACCATCACTTTAACTGGCAGTTGACTTCTGACTTCAAACCACCATGACCTCACTAAACTGGCAGTTGACTTCTGACTTCAAATTGCCATCACCCCAAAACCGGCAGTTGACTTCTGACTTCAAACTACCATGACCAGATCTATTAACTGGCAGTTGACTTCTCTATGTCATATTCGAAGTCTATAAACCGGCAGTTGACTTCAAACTATCGGCAAAAAAATTCTATTAACCGGCAGTTGACTTCTGACTTCAACGCAAAAAGGTCTATTAACTGGCAGTTGACTTCTCACTTCACAAAAAAGTCTATTAACCGGCAGTTGACTTCTGACTACTCAAACGGCAAAAAAGTCTATAAACCGGCAGTTGACTTCTGACTGAAAAGGTCTATTAACTGGCAGTTGACTTCTGACTTCAAATAAAAGTCTATCAATCGGCAGTTGACTTCTCACTTCAAACTAAAGTCTATTACCTGGCAGTTGACTTCAAACTACCATGAGTAAGTCTATTAACTGGCAGTTGACTTCTGAGTTCAAACTATCATGACCCCAAGTCTATTAATCGGCAGTTGACTTCTGACTTCAATTACCATGATCTATTAACTGGCAGTTGACTTCTCTATGTCATATTCGAAGTCTATAAACCGGCAGTTGACTTCAAACTATCGGCAAAAAAATTCTATTAACCGGCAGTTGACTTCTGACTTCAACGCAAAAAGGTCTATTAACTGGCAGTTGACTTCTCACTTCACAAAAAAGTCTATTAACCGGCAGTTGACTTCTGACTACTCATACGGCAAAAAAGTCTATAAACCGGCAGTTGACTTCTGACTCCAAACTACCATGACCCCACTGTATGTCAAGTTCGACCACTTCCGCAGTTCTCATCTTACCTTTTCTCTGCCTTTGTGTCCCGCTGTCTCATTACATCTGTGAATCACTCTTCTGTTCCCCCTCTCGAATTTTTCTCACTTTGATGTCCCTCCATCCCTCTGTGAGGTCCGAAGTCAGCTAAAGGGCTTATGGCAACTATCGAATCGCCTACGATTTGAAATAAATATATACTTGAATTAATCACCACTTTGGGTATATTTTCTAATCCATAATTTGAGGGCTTTCCTTCTTATTTCCATTAGCTTGACAGTTTTTACTAACTCAATGTCTTAGCAACAGACAGTAGAGCTTGGTACTTTTAGTGGCAACCTTTAACTAGTTAACCATAAAATACATTTGTTCATTTGGAGGGTATTTCGGGGGTGGGGGTTGAAGTTGCAATTGAGAAATTAACGCTCAAAAAGTTCATAATTTGGGCGTAAATAATTGAAATTTTCTAAATAGAATTTAAATATCTAGTGTATAAATTAATATCAAAGGCATAATTGACGTTTAATAACCTTCTAAGCTAGGCTAATTCAGATAATATGATGTTCCAAATATGTCAACCATGTGTTGGAATTGACCAGATTTTAATCCACTCAACCCCCCTCCCCCCTACCATTCAGTCAAATGAACGAAGCACGGCATTTAGAAATCTGAAGTCATGGCTACCTTAATTTTGATTAATTAATAATGTTTAATTTCTTGAGAAAGAGAATATATGCAATATATTAGTGAATACTGTAATATTACCACTTGTAAGACGACTTTAACCGATAGTAGTCATGGAAATGTTAAGAATTTAACACTACTTTCGTGCATCCTTGTGCGGCGTTTGAAACCGAAGGCAATTTTTCAAAGTCTATGAATGCCTGAGAAGATATACAAAAATGATCTACACTTTAATTTGCTTTGATTTTAATTTTTATTTTATTTGTATTTTTAAAGAAAGACGTAAATTAATCAAAAGTACATTTAAGGCAATTTAACTTATTTTTCAATTCAAGTGAACTTAGTTCCTAACTGTCACTAACTTTCATCTCCCATATTGATGAGGTATCGAAGGTCTGACTTTAAGATTTTTTGCTCAACCAAAGCAGTACTCATAAATCATTAAACAGGCCAAAATCGCTTTGAAATCACATGGGCAAACACATGCTTAAGTGTACACACACACACACTTATATCTATGCAAACACACGCACCTCATACATAATGCTTATTTGGTGAATTACGTGTGTACGCAGTTGTGTTTGTTTTTCATTAAAGAACTTGTTGAGTGACGTGGGCTTAGAGAGATAATGAAATGAGTACTTCAAGCGTTTCACAGGAGCTTGTTTCAGTTCCAGCTTGTTTAATACATATTCAATGCCCTTGGTGTGATCACTTAGAATTTTTGGGGTAAAGTGATGGCTAATGTCTTTGCAACCTGGTGTGTTCATCCATGCGTATATTCGCTCAAGCTTTTCTTTTTGCCACTTTTGCGCGATTTAACAAATAGTTGTTTTAACACATGTTTTGCACATCTTACATTTTTCAATCCTCGCAGGCTTTGTGTGGGATTAACGCCCAAAGGACTTGCAGTACATGGCAATGATGATCACCAATGAACTGATCTATTGGGAAAATCAATCCGGTTCTAGTGTCTGGAGGTCACTTGAAGTAGCTTCCATTCGGAGAGCTTAGGACCAATTTTATTATCCACTTACTGGAGGCCTAAAACTGATCGTAGCTAGAACTCCAGTTTCAAGGATTAATCCCTCTTATCAGTTTGGTAAATACCAGACTGAATGCCATGTACAATTTGTCAGTATCTTGCTATCTGATACGCATTTTAATTATACTTTGGTGAGAAATTGAGCGGAGTTAAACTGAGCACATGACCTCTAATTTGGCAGACTTGTACCTCTAAGATGGTATCACCTATTATTTACTCATCCGATAATTCCAGACATACACTCATCGAAGTACGTGTCAATTAGTGTTTGTACTTTTTTCAGGGTGGTCTATTCTCCAATTTCTGTTTCCCCATAGTTAGATACCTAATCAGCACGCCATGTGTATTTCATTGCTAATGCGGTATAAAAGGTGATAGAGAGTTTTAAAGCGCAATAATTAAGTAGGCATCAATGAGAGAGCTCAAACACACATGTTAAAAAAAGCATGCGATGTGTGTGTGTGGACGAAACGAACATGTGAACTCTTTCCAATCAGGTAGGGTTCTAGAAAGATGGTGGTGAAAGTGCTTTTGCCAGGATTCGATCGAAGTTTCTCAAATTAGAATAAGAACGCGAAGTTAAGCCTACTTCGAGTCGTGTGTGCATATGAGGGAGGCAAAAGTATACTCATCTCACATTGTATTTACAAATAGTAGTAAGAAAGCCTAAGTGATTTTTCACACAAATTTAACCCAACCATGAGTATATGTATTGGATGAGTTGGCACTGACCTGTGGAATTGAATGGTGACTGATGTGACTGCTGCTAATGAATTTCTATCACTGCACTGGGTAGGATGACAAAATGTAGGCTGAGACACACGTGTAAGTCACCGCTTAATCAGGTTAACCTTGAAGATATTTCAGCCAATGGTAGCGAAATAATAATAACACCGGAATATGTGTGCATGGAAGTGTTAAGAAAAAATTAGCGAATCTGTATAATATTTGAAATGCGAAACACTACTATTAATCTTCTATTCCTTGAATAGAAATAAAAGAATTATTTAGATAATTCAAACACCAATATTTCTAGCCCCAAGTTAGACTCGATTTTCTTGAGTGCGACCTACAGGAGAAGGAGGAGGAGGCAAAGTGAAGACACGAGTGTAAACCGTTTACCCGCATTCAAAATTTAAAGACGAAAAGAGGAAATCTAGCGCCTCTAATGCACAATCTCAAAATTTTGCTAAGTGCTGAAATGTGAC